GAAGGGGATTTGCTTAAAATAGGAGGAAAGCAATCAGACTTCTCCTGATCTTTGCCCTTTATTTGGAAGATCCCCCTTTCAGCAACTTATTCCAGGCATCTCTCTCTTTAGGCTAGTGTCATAAGTTGAGGGTCCGCATATATGGTATCTGTTATATATATCCATATTTTTATCTTAAGTGTATATATTAGTCTATTTTATTGCATGCCTTATACCCACAGTGTTTTAGATATTTTTATAATTTTATTTACCTATTTCATATTATATGTTTCATGTTGCACGATTGTACCATAAAAATTCCTAGTTTGTGAACTCCTTCACTAACAATGGCAATAAACCTGATTCTGATTCTGGTTATCTTGTGAGGTTTCACTGGTAAAATATTAATAATGGGATTCTTAAGTCTATTTAAATAAAATCCTCAAATGTATTTTAGTAAAAATTATTAAAATCTACAAGACTTTGAAAATGAAGAAGGCAAATCAGCATCCATTTTCCTCCTTCTTGTTCCTTGTGTAGCTGGGGTTGTAAAATTGCTCAATAGATGGCAGCATTGCGCAGAAAAATCTCCACCACTTGATGAAACCATAAAACTAACTGTCCCTATAGATCATCATGTTGTCTCAACTCCCCCCTTTCCCTTCACAGAAGCAGCCCCATTCCTTCCTCTATATTTTATATTCCAAACGCAGAATACATAAAAAACAAAACCCTCCAATGCTATAATTTATGAGTCGCCTTTTGAGGAAGTAGGAGCTTTCATCCCTCTAAATACAGCCGGCGGTGACAGGAGAGGTGTGGGGAGTGTGATTAGCAGGCTGGATTGACTCAGTCATCCTGTCAGAGTGCTGCTAAATGGCTCTGACTGACGGCCTGAGCTCCTATGGAACCAGGAGAGCAAACAAACCATCTCAAATTACGTTTTTTTTTCTTCCTATCTTTGTTCTCCTGTCAAACATATTTAAAAGATTATATTCAACCCAGGTCAGTAGTTGATCAGGGGATCTGGAGAGCACCTGAGCTATAGAGAATGTGTCATGTGAGTTAAAGAAATAAAAAAAACTGAGCATGTTTGAGAAGATTTTTTTTTTATATATATATATATATTAGAACCATATATAGGTATACATGTTTAATTTTATAGGAAATTTGCTTTAATCCTATAGGTTCAAAATTAGACTAAATGTCTAAAAGTTACTTAAGTAACTGTTACTTAAGTAACTGTTTAGACAAACTGAACAGAAGTAGCTTTGCTAGTCTGTTTTTTTTTACTTTTTCTTGGGTAATATTACGGGGACATTTCTAGACACACTACCTTAGATCATTGAATAAAAAAAGGCTTTTTGGTTCAGAAACACATACATACAATTGATGTTTTTTGTACTTTAACGGTACTGTGGAAGATGTTTACGATTTTTTAAAAAGACCCACCCTCTTCACTTTAAAAAAACAAAAGTGCAGAGTGAATGTCTATTAAAAGCGTGCAAGAGCATGCACAATCCCATTTCTTTCTGCACACTCTGTTTAAAAGTTGCTGTTCTCATAGCTCGTACAACCTTACTGTGTCCGAATGTTCACCCTAACCCCTAAATCCCTCAATCACTATACAGAGCGGGGACTACATATTGAACTTAATGGTGAACTCCGTTAACTGACCCTTCAGACAGATGATCACTGCTTTTTTGCTCTGTTGGTCACGTAACTCCGGCTCCACCATGCGTTGCCTGCGCCATTTTTGATAGTAGTTGCTTAATAACAGTCGGCAGCTGTGACAGCAAATCCCATAATGCTTTGCATGTAGAGCTCTCCGCGCAAAGCATTATGGGATATATCTGCCTCTTTTGACGCCTTTCTTATCTTCTCACACACTTCATAGACACTTTTTCTCTTATGACCCTCGGCCATTTTCCAAGTGAATGATTGTTTGTCCTGTTTTGCCCTGTGATGGACTGGCGACTTGTCCAGGGTGGACCCCGCCTCTCGCCAGACAGCTGGAGACCAGCAACCCTTGCTACCCCACTTGAAATAAAGCCTGTAGGAAAATGGATGGATGAGTAATTCTTTGGTTGCCGACTTTTTTCTTTTACTTATGTTGGCGTTGGGCTACTTTTGCTTGGCTACATCTACCCACCTCTAGATAAATAAGGCAACATGAAGCTTTAAGAAGCTTCTAAACCCTTACTAAGAGTGCAGTTGTAGAGTACAGAAATTTGTAAAAGCAGTGATTTATGTGTTGGAATGCCCTGATAAGAGGATGTGTGAAATAAAGGTGATATCACTTAATTATGCATTGTTAGGGCCATTGATCAGATTGCACCTGAGCAATGATCTGTACTATCTTAGAGACGTCCAAGGAAACTCTCAGCCCAAAGAGGAATTCGGTTGCTAAATCTGCTATTCTGATGCACTGCTTGTAGATCATTAAAATCTTGCTATTAGTGGGTTATAATGATGTTGTGTGACGCTTTTTGACTTCATAATACTGTAGGGGCTAAAACAATTAGGCCTGTGACCATCTGCACTGCATTCTACGGAAGCAGCACATTACAATTTCTAAGGCTCCCACATTAGTTAACCCATCAGTCATCACATGAGCAGCAGAGTGCCTCCATTCTCATTTCTATTCCGAGCCACCGTTCTTCCCTTGAGGTGTAGGCCCAGTTACTGAGTCTCCACCGTGAGAGCAGCTGCACAATGTGCCAGTCACATGACCTGAGCACAGCAGCACCCTGTTAGGAATTAAAGTTCACACATAGCAAATTAACTGGGACTTCTTATTCTGCAGAGACCCCTCGGTGTGCAGCAGACCTTTATTAGGCCTCCTTATTCTTACGATTTTAAACAAATCTTAAACTGAACAAAAGTGGATTAACCTATGCTTAATGTTCAGAACACCAGCAGAGTCTGCAATTGGATTCAAGTCATGTAACTTACACAAACAACCTGCTTCAGTAATCATCTATAAGCTTCTAAATAGCAGGCAGAAGAGATAGTTACATGTTGCTGAGAGGAGAGGAGGGAAAAAAAGAAAATGAATCAATGCAGTCTAGGAGAGGCCAGTGAGCTCCGGCCTCAGTGGAAACCATCAATACAGAAGCACTTAAAATGGAAATGCATCTTCAATAACAACAAAAGAAGTAAGAAAGCAGCACGACTCTCCAGGGATCTCTGCAGTCTTACTTGTGCTTATCAGGGTAAAATATCTGCAGAGACGCAATGGCCTGAACTTCCATGTTTTGCTTAAAGCTTTAAGACAGTGATGCATTGCTACAAAATGAAACAATGCCTCGCAGACTGCAGTCCAAGGCTGTGGCTCACAGGTTGGGCTTTTTCTGGGGGGGAAAAAATGGTTCCCCTCTCTGTTTAAGCCTTGGCATGCAAAAACCTGAAGTATATACGCAAAGTGCAGTAAGCTTCTAAAAGCCAAGAAGAATTTATATTCAGGGAACAAGGTGTCTAACTTGTTTTAACTCTCATAAATCTGTCTGCTATAAATATCTTCTAATGATTCATGTGCATAGAGCAGGATTGCCAGCTATATGAGCAGCTTGATGAGCCAGTGCCTTCATTGCCAATCACATACACATTTAAAGACGTACTACGTGTTCCTTTGCATTTATTCATAATCATGCATCCTGATTTTAAAATTTCCGAAGTGATGCCTCTGGGGTTTTAGAATATGGTTCAATTAAAGTGGCTCACCTCCAGGGTGGAATGGTCTGGGTGGGTGAGCCATGGCGACTCTGTCAGTTTTCCCCCACAGGACAATATAACGAAAAGGCACAATATACTGTGCACAATGCTCGCCCTAAAGTTGCATTTCAAACATCTCTGGCAAACATTTCCATCTCTAAATCTATAACGAAACAATCTAGACCAGGAGTCTTGGTCTTTAGGACTCACATCTCCTGTATGTTCCAGATATGCATCCAACACATTTGGATCAAATGAAGAAATTCACACCTCTGCAACCATCCAAACTTCATCTTTTCCACATGTACTCTTTGAGACACATGGGAAATGTAGACTTTCATGTTTTGAGTTTTAGAATGGGAAGCTTCAGCTGCTCACTACATCTGTTTAACTTAGTTTTTTTTTTTTTTTAAAGAATGGTTTAGTCCCCGTTTAGAAGAAGCACTAAGATCTGATCTGGAATCAGTGTTGGACTAGTCAGACATGTTGAGAGATCGAACCAAAACCGACTCCAAACTGGTGTTTTGTTTTCAAAGCTTATTTGGCTTAGGGACACATTTTAAAAACAATTTACAGACAGGTCAAACCTAGACTAAATAATAAATTATAGATTGTTTAAATAAGTTTGTGACCCATAAAACATCAGTCAAGTTTGATTAGCAGAAATAAAACAAAATGAAAGTATAATATGTTATGATAATTTAACTAAAAGAATGTATTAAGGTTTTTACTGCTTATAATGTGCTTTCTTAAAGTAACCTTCTTTGGCATGAAAAGTCTGGTGCATTCTTGAAATCTGTGGCTTATGAATTTCATTTCAACCCACTAGAGCAAATCAATACTAAACTCTTTTTGGCCTTATAAGGAAACAGGGCGTTTATTTGGATGTTTTAAGCATTAAAGGCATATTTGTTTTAGAGGGTAAACATAAATATTGGATATAGCGATGAAATGCAAAAAGTAAAAGGTAGAGTTCACTCTATTAGTGCTCCATTACTTTTACATCGGGTACTGAAAAACCTTAACATGCTCCACACTTCGTCTATATTAAACCACATCATTTCTACCTCAGTTTTAAATTTCAAAGCTTCATAAACTGCTGACTTTTATGATTGGAACTGCTGTGGACAGTACAGTCTGTGGCTCATTGAGACTAACTTACTACAGGTGGATATATTACCAAGTATGACCTTTAAACTAACCTTCACTTTAAAAGAAATGATGCAGAGCAGCTTCTTTAATATAACTTTAGAATGATAATGGATCTTAACAACGTAGCCCCGATGTCCATGAAACCAAGCCAAAAATTCAACATTCCTTTTTATTTTGAACAATCCAAGAAAACAGTCCAAGAAAACAGGCAATATGGAGAATAGTCCATAAAGATTTACTTTTTTATATATAGGATGCAAAAGAGAAAAAGAATACATAACATTAGCAATTAAGGTCACTGTAATCGAACATAACTCTTGCAGAGTTCATGATCCCTGATATCTCCCCAGCCCCCGTTTTTAACATGTGGGGCCACTCCTCCAGCGCCATTAGCCGGCAGTCTCTTTGTGATCAGGAGGGTTTTCGGGAACAGCTGGTTCCCACTGCTCTGTAGGATGTTTTCGATCTTTGTTTTCTGGCTGACAGGCATGCAGGAGGCCTTCTTGTGGTGCATACCGCAGTCCCCTGCATGAAAAATCCTGGGCGCCTCGCTCACCATGACCTTCCAGTAAGAGGGCAAACAGGCCACGGTCAGGTACTGCAGGGACCAGTCCCAGTTGTAGTCATCATAAGTGCAGAACGTGTCAGTGCATTGGAGGAGTTTCTGGTAAGTCTCTCTGCTCAGAGCCATTCCCATGTTGTGTTCCGTCGACTTCCAGGGTTTCACCTCCACCTTGTTTGCCTTGCTAGAGTAGCTGATGTGGCTGTAGCTCCCCAGTGAGAGGATGTCACAGTCAGTGCAATGATCTCTTTTGAGAGTTTTCATCAGCCTTAAAAGGTGGATGAAGTCTGGTGACAGATAGTGGTCTTCCTCTATCAGTAGAACCAGACCCTGGTGGTCTTTGAGAGCTCGGACTCTGTCCCAGACGAAGTGCAGCTTCCACCACCAGTGGTGCTTGGTTTGGGAGAACTTGGCCTCCCGGTAGTGGCCGAATGAGTCTGGGTACTCTGCATTGATGCACCCAAGCTTTAAGGCGTCTTTTTTGGGAATATCTCTGGGGCAGTCTCTGGGGTCATTCCCAGGGAACTCTTGGGGGTAGAGCTGAATGCTGAAGGGGAAGAAAATTTGAAGGACTTGACAAAAGTCAACAGAGGCCACCACTTTATTTATCTCGGGGGACCAGTAATCATGGCTGAATATCAGCAATATGTTCTCAACACCTCTAGCCTTTCGCAAACTATCCACCAGCAGCTTTAGGTAGTCGGGTCTGTTGTGGACCTGAACCACAACAACCAGATCATCTTTCCCCCGACTCTTATACTTCTCTTCATTCCTTATCGTCTGATCAAAATTCAGCTGGAAGACGATGCCGCGATAGACGAGTGTGGTGTTGTCCACTTCTGGCTTGTTTAGTTTGGCTTTATCCATTGCATTTTCCAGGTGCGTGCCATTCACTTGGATAACAGGTGGCGGAACAGGTGGCCGGCTAACTACTACTGGAGAGGCTGGCACCTGAATGTGATCACTACTGCTACTGCTGCTCCTCTTCACCGCCTCAAACTCCTTGGGGAACTCTTTAGGGAATTGAAGACTTATGTTCTTTTTTTGCCTTCCACTGCTCCAGAAAGCTAGGCCACAGATAACAACCACCAGAGTCAGTATCACCACCTTCCTCTTGTAGATTCGGAATCTCATGATAGATGATCAGCCTCTTGTAAAAGAGATAGAAATAAAAAAGAAAAAGAAAAGAAGAATTGGAAAACACACCCAAAAATATAGTGGTGTTTCTTCCACAAAAAAAATTTTTACCTAAAGATGTGTAAAGAGGCTAATTTCTTCAAAAAGGACTATTACTGTAAACATTTATTCTTCTTGGAATGTCATAGGCAGTTAATAAATATTCCATAAGGCATGACGGCTGCAGGGAGGCAGTGTGCATGAGCCACCTGGATGAAAGAAAAAGAAAAGGAAGAAAACCTGAGTTAAGGATGCCAAAATGAATTTAAAACTATAACATAACTGGTGTGGCATGATATGGCAAGACTGTTAAATTCAACTATCATAAGCAAACTTTTAACTGTATTGTGTTTGATATGTTCCAGGCCATAGTGAGAACAAATGTTAAGTAGCTGCTGCAGCCCACCAGTGTTTGGACTGAAGACAACCAAGTCATCTGCCACCTACAAATTATTACAAAGCAGGTTTCCAGATAAACAGCCAGTATTATAAGCATTTAGTCCAATTGATAGATCAAAATACAGGTTAAAAACAGCGGGAGATAAAATCCCCCCTTCCTCTGCATCCGACAACATAACCAAACTTTAATGGTGCAGACACACAGTTTCCCCATTTGATATGCATCGTTGCAGGCCATAACAATACTCTAATATCTACAAAATATCTTTAGGGATACCTCTCTGCAATAACTTCGTAGATCATTTTATGTGATTTACTATACCAAGGCTTTAGAGTTATCTTATATTTAGCAACCAATTCATTAAAGGCATTTATGCTAAGGTCATTTCCAATTTTAGCTGTAAAGCAAAACTGAAAAAGGAGTTTCAAAGTTTGTCCAGCAAGGTGGATTCTACAATTTTGGACACAATACTAGCCAAGGCCATTACTTGATTATATATATATATATATATATATATTTTTTTTTTTTTAAGCATGTAAATTACAAAGAGAGTGACAGAGAAGTTGTTGTATGAGTAGTCAAATTATAAACAGGGAGCACAGATGCAAATCAGCTTTAGCAGAATCTGGCACCATCATTGGCAGAGCAGGATGATGCTGTCTGGTACACAGCAGGACAACAGCGGCATGGTGGTAGTATATAGAGCCCGCTCACAGCGCCATTCCACTTTAAACAACCAAGATGGTTGGGTGTTGTTTGGGGTGTACAGACTAAGCCGATAAGAGTAAAGAAAAGTTTTCATTACATATTACAAATCAGAAGAGGTGAACTTGATCAAACTTTGCAACTGAGCATCAACCAGCGAAGTTAAAAAAACAATGACTGATATTTAGGTTTCTCCAGTGTATAAGATCTTCAATTTACTTCGTACTAGGCAAGGCATGTTTGTTGTTCTAGCACGATTCAGTACAAGGACAATTCTGAGTGCTTTACAAGAATTAAACAATAAAATATGAGAAAATCAGAATAAAAGCAAATGAAGATAAAAACATGATACAAGCAGGTAGTTGAATTACAACTTTTAACTAATATCTCGGTTAACGCTAAGAGTCAAAGACAGCTCTACACAAACAGCTTTTTAACTTTGACTTAAAGAAGTCTTACAAAGCACTTTTACAGTCTTCTGGGAATTTGTTCCAGCTAAATGGAGCATAAGAACTAAATGCTGCTTCTCCATGTTTGGTTCTAGATCTGGGTGTACAGGCTAGCCTGGAACTAGAAGACCGAGTGGTCTGGGAGGCTGATACAGTGACAACAGATCTGTTATGTATTAAGGTGCTGATCCATTCAGTGTTTTTATACTAACAGAGGAATTTTAAAGTCTATTCTCTGCGCTACAGGGAGCCAGTGGAAGGACTTCAGAACCAAGCTGGTGTACCCTACATTCATAATTCTAGTGAGAACACGGGCTGCGGCTTTGTCAAACCTGTAAAGAAACTGTTGCAGTACTGAATTCTACTAAAAACAAAAGTATGCAAGAGCTTTTGTAGATCCTGCTGAGACATTAAATAGGACCCTAAATAGGACGATATACTTCCTCAACGCTATACAGGACGTCGTGATTGTTGTGATTTCACTGCTACATTAACTCACATATGATCTAGAGATTTTTATTTTTTAATCAGTAAATGTTTTAATGTCTCTATGCCCAAGTTCTGCAATCAGTTCAAAGGCTTGTCTCTTCAGAAAGGCTTGTTTGCACGATACCTGCATTCTGCATGCTTTCATAATTTAATAGTGTTTATTATCATTATATTTGACAGGTTCTTATTGGAAACATGAAAATGTATAGAACCATGATCCAAAATCCTGAAGACACCTTAAAAACACAAATGGAAGAAAATAATTTTATATACTTTATAAAAGAAAACTCCAAACTGTGAGGCATTGCAAATTAAAAACTCAATACTTATTGCTAAAACTCCTTGTGAATTTAAATAAAACAGCCAAGTAGGTACAGAAATAGAATAGAAACTACCTTTGTTGTTATGAGGTAATTCACAACAACAAAGGTTACTTACTTAAGTAAACTGCAGCTTTTACCTCAGTCTAATGCAGGATTTCAAGTCCAAAGTGTTTCCTTGAACTCTGTCTAATTTAAACATCATAAATGGCCGAAACCTTTTTCCCTGTAGCAATGCTTTAATTACGTTACCTAACCTGACCCAGAAGCACCAAAAACACAAACTAAATTAATCTGAAAGTAAATCTTAGCTGGATTGAGCATATTCGCATTTTCGGGCCAATTTTCGTCAACATGTTGCAACATTACGTCAACATCCCAAGGACCGTCTAAGGATGCGTGGGACATAAACTTTGAGCTATAGAAGAAATGCAGAAAGTTAATACTGACACATTTTATCTTTCCCTCACCAATTGTATGAAATTCAACTGAACATAGGATTGTACTATGACCTGATGGTCAAAGAAATGATTCTTATTAGATTAAATAATTTCAGCAATAGCAAAAAAGAAACATAATCATAACCCATTAGTAGTCTTGTTTAAAAGCAATGCCTTAACTTTAAAGAAATAATTATGCCTGCAAAGATATTCATCCTTTCTTGTTTGAATTGTTATTAAAGAAGCTCAAAGTCTCCTGCAATAAATTTAATCCTTAATTACATTACCAATATCGACCTGCTGAATAAACCTTCATATTTTATTGATTATCAACTGAATGATCTCTCAGCTGCATAAACATCCGTCTGCCTGCAGAACAAACAGATATAATGTCACAAACATGGAAAAGCAAAATATATATATATATATAAATAAAAAATCAGATTATACTTTCCAATTGTTTATCACACATGATCTTATAGTATCCAGAGTTTAACGCAAGACTTGGTGTTTTCCACATTTTTAAAATGCTCCCCTTCCTCTCCAGCATACAGCCTGATAGTTTCTGGTTAGCAGCGCTTCTGTGTGATTTTTTATCTTCCTTTCCAGGTGGAGCTAACTTAGCTAGCTGCCAGAAAATCCTCCCCGAGCTTCTATCAACAGAAGCGGCCGCAGGTCCAGCTTCACTCCGTTATGACAGCTAGCATGCTAACAGCATCCTAACAGGATGCTAACAGGATGCTAGCAACTTCTGGCAGCCGAAGCTCTTCGTTACCCTAAACATCCAACAGCAGCTGTTGGATGAACCGACAGAAAACAGACATGTTCACTAAACTCACCGAAATTGGACTAATGAGCTCCTTTGACTGGAGGACATTAGGACGGAGGCTTCCCGTTCTCCTCCATACCTTCCAGAGCGCTGCATGGAAACGCAAATGACGGCTAGTTGTTTAGAAAAAAAAAAAAAAACTCAAATACACAGCCACCGCCTCCCAATGTCCCACAATGCACTTCTTCACTAGGAGGGGGTCGGGGTGGGGGTTATTCACTATGAGGTATGTGTGGAGAGTAGACAACAGTATTAATATCTTAAGTTTAAGTATTAACAGTGGCGGTTCTAGAGCAAATTTTCTAGGGGCGCCTATGTATTATGAATGTTTTTTCTTGAGGGCACAAAAACAAAAGACTAGAAACACACAAAAAAAACAGCAAGTGAGCCACAATCCAAGATTAAAGTGGCATTATGGAGTATTGTAATGATACTGCCACCTGTAGTCAAATTACAGTACTGCAGCACACTTCTCCTAGTTCTTGGGCTCTTTCTTCTACAATGTTTATTTTTTCTTTTATATTTTTAACCTTACATGGAGTTGCCATAGGTGTTTGAGTTGACCTGGATGCCAGTCGCTTCTTTTCGAATATAACGCTTGGATTGTTTGCTAGTTAGGACTCATTCTACATGAAGTGGTCTGCTCATTAAAGTGGGGCTGTGTCCGAACGTCTGCCCTAACCCCTACACCTCTTAGTCACTTTATAGAGCGGGGACTATATAGTGGACTTTATAGTGAACTCAGTTAACTGACCATTCGGACAGATGATCACTGCTTTTTGCTCCGTTGGTCACATAACTTTTGGCCACGTAACTCCACTTTCACCGCGTGGTACCTGCGCCATATTTTTTATTAGTCGCTGCTGTCGGATAGTGACAGCGGGCTGCTATGACCCCCAATCCCATAATGCTTTGCCAGGAGAGCACTCCGCACAAAGCATTCTGGGATATATCTGCTCATCTAGAGACCATGGAGGTGATGGCAGTGTCCGAAGGTCTGCCATAACCTCTAGATCGCTCAATCACTAGCCTAGTAAACTAGCCCCACCCGCCCAGCGGCCAACATAATTTTTGCCTGGGTGTCGTCTAGCCTCGATCATTCCCCTAGGCCCTAAATCTGGCGGAAGATGTGTTTTAAATTTCTGGGTGCAAAATGGGCGGGGTTTTGAGGGCGTGACGACAAAGCTGCGTGATGCTGGAGAAAGCACAACAAGGAAGATGGCAACAACTATTGAACAGTTCTCGTTTGACTCAGCTTTGGAATCAGTTTTGGGAGGATTAGACTTTGGATTTTTGTTTAAATGTGAGCAGGAAGAGGCTCTACGTTTGTTTATTTTTAAGAAGGACATATTCACCGTTTTACCGACAGGCTGTTTGTTTACACTCCCCCACCAGCTTTCTGTCGCGCTTCCTACGTCACAGTCAGTTGCTCTAATTGGTCAGAGCGTTGGCAAATAGGCACAGACATGGTTTGAAAAACAACGGGTTGATCTCATCAGCAATCTACCGATGTCTCATTCATCAGGGCCAAACTAAATTACACATTTAATTTCACATTTAGTCTGTTTTATCAGGTTACTAACAGGTTAATAACAGTCGGCAAATGTGACAACAAATCCCATAATGCTTTGCTAGGAGAGCTCTATGCGCAAAGCATTCCGGGATACATCTGCTCACCTGACCATGTTTGATCACTAGTTTTCAAGGTGCATTGTGGGAAATTTCAAGTCCATAACTTTTTCATCCAATAGACATTCAGACACCCATTTACCACTATAAACTAGTGCCCTATATTGTGATTAGGGCGAACATCCAGACACATCCAACGTTTTATTCATAAAAGGGCCAAATAGAAGGTCTATTTTAAATATATTTTTCAGTAAAAACATACATAATCTCTCTTTAGAAGGACCCCTGACCTTACAGATAAAAACTGTGATCCTATTGGCTGGTGCTTAAACCTGACTGTCATTTCTAAATAACTATCAAAATAAATTTTAAAGTAAAGTTGAAATACTGAAATGCTCCAAGAGGCAAAACAGTTACAATCTCTTCTGCCAGCGCATATCATCATAAGATATTTATAATAAACTGCAAAAACTGATCTAAATGATTAGAACATTTCTTAAAACAAGTTAATTTGCTCTTAATTCGAGCAGCTAAATAAGTTGATCTGGCAAAGGAATGAGTATTTTTGCTCTTGTAGGCACATGCTGTGCCTTATTTATTAACTAAAGAAAGGATTTTAAGGATATTTTTACAAGAGGTGCACCTCATACCAAGGAACAATTCCTTAAAAATGTGGTAATGATTATCATGTGAGTTTTATAGCTATAGATGTAAGTTCTAAAATGGGGCAAAATGTGTTACTTTGCTGAGGCCAGCTTTCTCAGGGTGCTTTTCTTGTTAGATATGGAATAAGATAATGGATCTGTTTTCCCTTATGTTAAATGGAAATAATTTTATTCTATTGGTAATTTGTCCTCCTTCCCTGCCTAAATCAGGGGTGAATGCACTTAATTCAGGAAATACTGAAGATCTCAGATTTTCATTTTGTATGTTTGAAAATTTTAATTTTACTTGACCTGAAATGAAAAATCCTTTATAATGGGATAAATGTTGCTAAGATAAGTTTCTGCTAAATAAATATATTCTAAAAGATAAAATAAAGTAATTCCTAGTAATATTAGGCCAATGTACATGCATAAATCCAGAATGCTACATATGTTTGAATTATTTTAAATGAAAATGACCAGTTTTCATCAAATCATAAGTAGAAGTTAAGTAATGCTAAAAAATCTGCTATAACTTTTATTTTCCTATTTGGTTTCAATAACATTAAGCAGAGGAAAACATCCTATTTCAATGTGACGATCACTGTATCGCCTTTATTTTAAAATCATAATCAAAACAGAATTGTAAAGAAAAAAAGGGTCAAAAATAACTTGTTGATATATCTGTTCCAGTGCATTTCATATTTAGAAATCTAATTATCGTCACAGGGCAAGGATCAGTTCCACAGCAGCACTGCCCCCTGTTGGCCACTGTTTAGAACCACCTATGAACTCTGGAGGCCTCCCCTATTATAAAAGATAAAAAGTAGGGCTGCAGAGATTTATCAACCTTGATTTTCTTCATTTTGGGAGATCGATGATTAACCACCGATTTTATTTACTTGTGCAAAGCTTAAAGTCAGTCACTGTCAATGCTCTAAGCTTTTAATTTATATTTTAGAGTATTATAACGAGGAGGTTTTTATTACTTCACGCTCTTTTTAATAAAATGAGATTAAAACATTTCAAGTGTGTTCTGGTATAGCAAATGTTATTAAATAAATATGTGTATCTTTCAAAAATGGAATCAGGCTTTTGAAAGATTGGTTATAAGCTAAAAAGCTGCCATCATTGCACTGCTAAAACTGGAATCCTATCTCAATACAACTGAAGCTAGAAGTGCAACACCTTCATTTTTAATTCATTGTTTAAATAAAACTGTAAATAAAGAAAGAAATAGATTGAATGGACCAATTACTTACTGTTTCTATTACAGCACATATCATTCTAAAATTATTATTTAATATTATGTCTTTAGTAGAGGGGCCTGAAAAGGAAACAGGGACTGTTCTACAGGGGCACTGGCTCCTGCTTAGAACCACCCATGCTGCTGGGTCAGTCTACAGGGTAGTAGTTAGAACCATCCAACATAGTTATCTTCACAACCCTAATTGCCATCAACGGGGCAAGAGAGCATGATTGTTTAAATTAAGTGAACCACAAAGCCAATCTAACAGATCTAATAGAAAAGTGTGCTTATATCTTAATTCGGCTGAAGCTTGTAACAGGCTGTAAAGACGTAAATATTAAATTGATCCAAGGGACGAATTATTTATTGTTCCGTCTTTCAGTGTACATTATTGTAAGAAATTGATTTAGTATTACACAGCAAAAACCGATCTAAAAAGTCTTCTAAAACAAGAGGAATGGGCATTATTGCTCTTAAAATATTAATGATAAAAAGATTTTATCCACTCAGACAAAATCATCATAAAAGATTATATATATTTATATATTCATGAAGTAGGAAATGGACATTCCCAATGGGATGTTACCCTTGGCAGAAAACTATATTACATACATTAAAAGGCAGATTGTTTTTGCCTATTTATGTATTTATTTGAAAAAAAAAATATGGATCCTTTTAAAGAAGACAGGTCCTTCCTTGAAACAAATGTTTATTTATCTTTTTTTATTATTATTATTCACATCCCAAAGATGATCATTCAGGAACTTGGGAATTGTTTGGAACTTAACAAAAAATGCGTTCCATTAAATGCACATTTTAATTTAGTTTTTTTTTTTTTTTTTTTTTGACGTAGTTTAGTTGTTCTTTCACTAGATGGCGCTAAATAACTAATAGACGACCGGAAATAGCGCCACTGAAACGGTCTTTTTGCGCATGCGCTGAACCTGCTTCTTCCTTTCCGACACTCGAGCGAAAAGAGGCAAGATGGGCCATCAGCAGCTCTACTGGAGTCACCCGAGAAAATTCGGCCAGGGATCTCGCTCCTGGTCAGTGACAATGTTTGTGATTTTATTACAAACTGGAGCGCGTTTTTAAGCGTTATTTGTGTTCATTTTTATAACTTAAGCATTTAAAAATTGTTTACAAGCCTTCACCGCATGGGCGCTAAAGGCTGAGCCAAGATGGCGCCGGAAGATGTAGCTTTCTATCTGTATAGCGCCACAGCTACATGTGTAAAGCCTTTGCCCTTATGTTTTAAAATTTTAAAACTCATAATTCCAACAGCCATTGTAATATTTATCACCGTAACTCATTATCTGAATCTAATAATTAAAGTGAACTACATTTACAACAGTAGACGGACACTTTGTCTAGAAACGCCAAATGCTAACCGGTTATTAGCAGTACTCTCTCAGTTTTGCTAGGATATACATGAAAATCTTTTCAATTTTAGTTGGAAAAGTTTTGCTAATTACCTCCGTCTATGGTTTTTTTAGCCGGGTGTGTTCAAACAGACATGGCTTGATCCGGAAATACGGACTCAATATGTGCCGCCAGTGCTTCAGGCAGTACGCTAAAGACATCGGCTTCGTGAAGGTAAATCTACTTTTAATGTGATCTGAATAAATTAATGTGGAATTTTTTGGGGGGTTCATTTTTTTGTTTATCGGATAAATGTGTGTTAGTGCAGTAGCCAATATAATGGGACATATTACTGACTTTTTCTTGTAACTTTAAGTGGTTAGTATTGCATGGAATTGTGGTTTTTGGTCAGTTTTCTTTTTTGTTTGTTACAATATTGTTGTTTAAATCCTTTCAAACTAATTATTTGTCTCTCTACACAGCTGGATTAGATGTGCTGTCCTGACTTCCACAATCTGGCCAACATGGAAGAAATTCAACACTTCTAATAAATGCTTTTTTTTGTTCAAAAAACATTTAGCTGTGTTATTCATTTGTGTCTTAACCTGTTTTCCTTATGTAGGAGTGAAACAACTGATCTCATTAATCTTCAAGTAATATGGTAATCGAATCATTAATTGGAATATAGAGACTGTAAAACATGTCTCAAGCTGATCTAGCGACCTGTTAGAGCATTTATTATACGAAGCTTGTAAAAACAAAATGTAAACATTTTGTTCTTAGTTTTCGTTCGTAAACATTTTCTATCCAGAATTTGAGTGGAATAGTTTCAGTTACACCTGATTTACTTTTGATAAGGAACCTTTGGCAACATAAAGAAAAAGACAGATCAATTTATTTGCAAAATAATCGTTAGTTGGAGCCCTCTTACTGTGGCAAACTTTCTAAGCCATAAAGTCTTTGTCTTCCAATTTAAGCCCATTGGTTTTTTGTAAATTCATGTCTTAAGGTTTTTAATGCACAGCTGTTTGGGCTGCACTAATATTGACCCACACGGGGTACAGCGTTTTTAACACCCTTAACTTGAGCTTTATTATACATGTTCATAGTATGGTTTGTAGGTGCGTTCTAAAAAATAAAATAGGTTCTTTTTTAACCTAATCTTTATCACATATCTATTATTATACATGCAGAGCTTTAATATATAAAGATCCAAAAATAGCCTTTTAAAATTATTTACTTTTTTTTTTCTGTCAATTTAAGCATGCAATAATTGCATTTTAATTGCTTGCACAAATGTATGCATCATGGCTATGCTGTATATCTAATCTTCCAATCCAATGACTTGTCCTTTTTTGGTGCATACCATTTTACTAGTCCTAGTGACAAAAGTAATTATACTTTTGTCACTATGTGCAATCAACAGTTGACATGCATCATGAGGAAACTTCACAGTACAGCAGTATAGTAGCAATTTAAAAGGTATCACAGAGCTATTAAAGCATGTAATACAATTAATAATTGCATCACTAAATCAAGTTAAATTGAGCTGCAGTATAGAACTACTAATTTTGAAGCCAGCATGCATTCACATTCAAGGCATGGTGACATACTGGGATTTTGTTCTGCTTCAGAGCTAATGCTGTCTGATCGGTCTCCTATGGTGAAAGCTAATTAGGCTATGCCTCATGTCTTCATTGACCAAATCTGAATAAGGTCACAGTCATCTCCAGTCAGGCAGGTGGGCTTTTATGTGGGGCCAAAAATAATCTGGTAGGATATTAAAGAATTCAATTTTTTTGCATGCAATGTGCTGACATCAGGTGAACCACTAGGGGGCACCAACACTCCTTGTTGAAAAAATTAAAACTAATTGAAATCTAAAATATCTCTTCTTAGGGGAGGGGGGCTTAAAATCATTAAAATACTGACTGAAAGAAGAAAGCAGGACTTAAAGGTGCAAGACATTTGAAGCTAGTCTAGACCAGGGGTCTGCAACCTGTACAATCCAAAGAACTATTTGTCACTTAAGCTGCAAATGTTTCTTGACCTTTAACAAAAAAAAAAAGATAAAGATTATATTTAATAAAAATGTCCTTTTTTAAATACTATGAGAATAAAAATGTTAGAACTAAGAAAAAAACAAATGTACAGGTAATACATTTTCAATGGATAGCTGACATTTGTGGGAAAATGTTATAAAAACATTTGTCCCAACTCAAAAAGAAAGTATCAGATATGCTTAAAGCGAGTTTATAATGGAAATTAATTTCAATTAGTCAATGCAAAAAATGCTAAACCCAGCATTTATTATATCACATTTGAGAAAATGATCCCGGTCTTCATCATTTTTAACCAATGCAGACCCACTGGTTTCAGTCCCTAAAGAACCACTTGTTTCTTTGGAGCCTTTGGAATCTCATGGCTTTTTGTTTTATATTCATGTTTAAAACAGTTAAACAAGGCAAGGTGGAATAAAATACCAAAAAATGCTCAAAAATAATGTCAACAATTTAAGGCCCAGGCTCCAGGTAAAAGTGTTATTATATGTAGGCCATTTTAAAAAATAGCTGCTATCTTTATACTTTTTCTGTTGGCCATCCACTTTAAACATACCCCTAAACCAGCAGATTCTAACAGAAAGAAATGCAAGATGTTGACAAAAACAAATATAAGCCTATATATATATTTTTTTTAGGAAACCTAAAAATGTTGATGTAATTATGAACCTGCATCTCTTTTTCAGCACATTGCAATTTGAGATGGAAAGTATTTCTGGGATGTCTAAATATTTTCTTTAGACTCTCCCGAGTGTGGAAGAGATTTTTATCAAAATGCCGATATAAACAGTACAATATGCAGTAAGGAAGTCACAACGTCTAATTCAAACTGACAAGGGAGTCATCTTTATCAGATTGGAGTCTACAAATGGGCTAGGATGCACGCTAAAGTCTTCGACAGCTCTGTCATGTTGATAGAATGACATTTCGGATCAAATGTGGTTCCAGCATATGGATTTTATAAATGCTAAAATATGCATGAGGGAGAGTGTAGAGTTGGGAAGTTCCTTTTAAAGTGCGGCTGCTGCGGGTTGGGCTGTTGGGACAGATGGAGCTGATCACACAAGTGCTGCATGTTGCATCACATCATGGAGGCGGATGGAAGGTGATTCTTTGATGTTCAGTTCAGCTGGGTTTTTTTTAAACCGGCGCATTAATGCCCTAGTTAAGCTGCCATCTCAGTGCTGCCAGGACGACCAACTGATGACATTTTGAAAGGTCTGTTTCATCCAAACTGAGCTGTGAGGGCTCTTTGTGTCAGTTTGCTGGAGTAGTGGAGCACCAGTTTCTGCCTAATATAGTGTCATCACTCCATTTCCCAGCTTGTGGGATGCTTGTTGTTGCTGCTTGCTGTGTTGTGCTTTTAGTTGGGAAGTTTGAGAAAAAAAGAAGTATATTTTCCAAGTATTTCATCTGAACAAAGGAAACCAAGTTGGGCTTTTGTATTTACTAAGTGGGTAAAATCCAGGGACATTAGTTCAGGCATCATTTGAAGTGAAGGATGGGTGATTCAACCAGCTTGAACCCAAGAAGATGCAGCAGCTCCTAGGTGATCTTCTCTAATGATAAAGCCTGAAAATTCTAATATTTGTCAGCAAAATATCAAATGGGTTTTCCCAAGCTGGATTATAAAAGATAAAAATAAGCCAGTCTTTCTAAGGAGCAGCTGGACAAAATTAAAGAGCCCATCTTTAGTTTTAAACAGTGAAAATATTAAATGAAGGAAACAGTGTGGCTAAAATAAGGTATGAAAGTTAAGTCCTTAAAATGCCATGAGAAACAGTAGAAAATAGCACTAAAAAGAACAAAACTATTTATTCAACAAATGTTTAAAAAGAAAACAAGTTAAAAAATCAACCTGGACGATTCCTATTTTCTCATAATTCTTTTCAGGAAAACACCATGACCTGAATTTAAAGTGAGATTAAATTACACAAGAAACCTGTTCACTATGGCAGTTGGTAGCACTGGATTTTATTTAGAAATATCATATAGAAACTAGCTGACCGTTTCATGAACATGCTTTTCTCAATTTTTATTATAAAACAAAGGCTAAAAACAACATACTATTCTCTTCGGTTCCCACATATCTGTATCTTTGTGCCAATAAACTGTATTTCCAATATTTTTATTTTATATTATGATATGTATGAATATATTTAGCATGTTATATCTGCATCAGAAACATAAAAAACAAATATCTGGCCATAAATATAATAGAGAGGTTTTAAAGCTACAGTGTGTAATTTTCAGCGACATCTAGCGGTCAGACTGCAGACCGCAGCAACATGAACATCTCCCCCCCACCGCTTCTCCCCCCCAACAGTACGGCGAGCGTTACGGGACAAAATTTCTTCCACGACGTCCACATCACCTACCCTCTCAAGTGATGAGGTTTGTTTACATAGATAATTTTACAGATAGTATTTCATTAGTCTGTGTAGGGTATAGATTTCATGTAGACTTAAGATAAGAAATATACCCGTTATTTTTTCTACGTCGTTGATACGTTTTGGTGAGCTGCTTTGCATGGTGATATAAACAGACGAAGTAATTGTAGTCATTAGTTTAACAGCGAGATTGTGTTCGCTGGAAGAATATATATTCCCCGTTTACAGAGTCCAAGTCATTTTGGTGGCACGGGGGTTACAACGCGAGGAAGAGGGAGAGGACGAGGGCGAAGGCAGGGAGGCCGTGCAGCTAGGGCCAGGCGAGGGAGGGGTGCCAGCGGGGTGAGAGCAGAGGAGGAAACACTTGAAGATCTCCAAAGGAGCCGGAGAGAAGTAACCGAGGTATATATCCAGAAAATTATTTTACAGAAAATTACTGAATCATTACCTGTGAAACGTCAGGGACGTTGCTGAATAAGTATACTGGAGAGGAACAGCATCATCACGCTGCATGTTATTGTTTTAGACAGGTCTGAGCATCCTGTACTCCAAAAACTGCAGTCATATTAGACAATTGTGTGTGCAGGATTAATTACCTGTCCAAGAGAAAACTGGCAACTTGAGCGTCACTTTGAAAACCTTTTTCCTCCATCAGTGACTTCCATCGTGTAAATGCCGTGCCAATGTTGATCCGTGTTTTTTGTTGTTTCTTGTCACGCTTGCGTTTATTCTCGTCGTGTTTCCGCTTCTTAGATGACGGGGGTTCGGTGTCAGCCGCTTTTCGTTGTGATACAGAGTAGGCATGATCCTCCATTCGTCTGATGTTTGGCCACACAGTGCCAAACAGTTTGCAAAGTCACTCACGCCTGCCGCCTTGTTCCCCTTTCTTGTTACCGAGGCGCAGTATACCTGCTTCTTCTTCTTCTTTGGTTTCAGGCAGACTAAACGCTTCTCAGGCATAATACTGCCATCTACTGTTCAGTACCGTCTCAGTTAATCTCTCTCAACTTGCCGTAGTTATTTTCGAGCGTCATGGGAGATCTCGCAATCGCTAGTTTGTTGCC